CAGATTAATCGTATTTACATTGAACCTTATGGGGAAATTTGCCTCGGGTTGCGACCAACTCGAGTTGCGACCAGAGTCACGGAACGGATTAAGTTCATAACCCGAGGTACCACTGTATTTACTTACTAATAAGCAACTGTAGCTTGGCAAGAGAAGAGTTAGTACTGTTTCAACATATCTAGCTACAAAAAGCTTGCAGAAAATTGGAGACCGTGTAGCTATGATTTGGCCTTCTTTTTCTGGCCTCCTTCCACCTGGCCTGGAAAGGTGAAGATCCAGCTATACAGACTGCTTGTGCTTCTATAGGTGCTGCTTAGAGAGTGCCATTCCAATTTTTGGTGTGCTATTATTCTAACTGCTGGTGGTATATGGTTTGTGTCACTTAAAGGAAGAAAAAATCCCCCAAATGGAAGATCCTTTAAATGAAAACTAGGACTATTTATCACGTTTTTGGATGGCAGTTATAAAATTCACAAAAATCTTGATAAGTTAGAGAAATGGGCTAAAATAATATAATGAAATTAAACAGTCACATACTGATTTGTTCCTTTTTAATCTACTTACAGTAGAATTTGGAAACACACTACACAAATAAACAGCATCATACTGATTACTGCTCACTGGATTCCTAGTCTCAATGAGTTTCTAGATAAGTATGCACAAACTACAATCATAACTAGTCAAACACACCATTTGTCTGAACGAGTCAATATATCCATAATATATGGATTCAGTAAACGTGCTGCATTCTTACCACATATCAAGGCAAGTGGAATATTCTGTTGAGCCTAAGAGAACATCCGGAGGCCGGTACCAAAGGGTAACCACTTCATTAGAGTAGGTATGACTAGGAACAGATTTAGCTCTTGCAAGTCCTGAAGAATAAATGCAAATACAACAATAGAAAGATAAGAAAAAATAATGGATGAGCCTTTAATAGGCTTGCACATGACATTGCTTGAAAGACAGGATTTGATTCTCACTGTATGTTATTTTAGTCAAAGAAAACTAATATTCATTTCCATTATTCAGCACATCATAAAACAAAATGGAAACTCATAATAATAAAGAGATTGCAACAATAATGTTTGTCATCATTACCATGCTTTTAAAATATTTGGTGTCCATAATAAAATAGGAAACAGAAAACATGCTAGACATAATTTAAAAACTACTAAATATAAATGTACAGATATATCCTTAAACATCAGCAGCTAAAATAAAGAATGTAACCAGAACTAAGTAACAAGAAGAAAAATATTACATCTTTATCTATTTTACACTGGAATCATTTTAAGCTTTAGGCATATGCTATTCTATAGCATGCTAAGGAATGAAAAAATATATAATTTTCCTTATCATTTTAACATTTAATTTAAATAACAAATAATGCTAAATAACATTATTCCTAGAAGTTCATAGGTATCTAGAACTGTAGTCCCAGATCAAGATAGATGGAACATCAAAAATTAAAACAGATGCAACACCAAGAGAAGTTTCTTATTCTTAAATCTCATTGCAGCTTGGTGCAATTGGTGACTCATGAATAAATGATAAAAAATTGTGGAGAGGGGAGAGTTGTGGGGAGAATTGTGGAGAGCAACAGAATTGCTACGACAGTATTATGTCATTCAATAAATCAAACAGGCATTATGCTTTGTTATGTAGAATAGTACT